AGTTTACTAGATGGTAAATGATTATTGCAGCACGTCGACAAATTTAATCTAGGATGACTGATCGTCACCTCTGAAGACTTGAACAAAATTCTTCAACATCTTTTATTTTAATTTTATTGACTCTCATATTCTTCGAATTGTAACACAACGGTGAATTCAATGCTACTTGACGGTGGAAATAGAGAATAGTTGGTTACCAGCCTATCAAAGGAGTCTATCTATTTAATACAAATTTTTCTCAAATGAGTCTATCTATTTTATAAAAAAACCTCTGTAAACAAGCGTTATTAATGTTTTACAGACAATTCTCCAGCACCATCAACGAATCTAATACCGTGTCCTTGTGACCCTACAAATGACAGAAGATGCAACATTTTACTAACGCTCTTCAATCTACCTGTCACTGATGTCAATTCTCTGCTGAACGGAGAAATTACTGTTTGGTTGTAATAAATAGATTTAAAAAAATTAATTTGCTAGTAATTTTACTACCATATTTTTGCATACCAACACCTTACTTGAATAATACAATATTTGCTGATTTTATAACTTTTTTTTAAAAAAAAAAACTTTATTCTTACAGTAGGATTACCTCCAGTATCGCGGAGGCGTTATAATTTACATCCAACAAACTCTTGTTCCTTGCGGGATCCGTTCTCGAAGCCCCGCAGCCTAATCAACTAAAACAACTATACATATATATAACAACACAACTTTAAAGTAGTTTAATCACAAAATAATAGACCATCTAACAATCAATATAACTGAAACCTTCTGTAAAGCAATTTATAACATGGATTAAATAAATTTAACGTTTCAGTATATTTACGAAAATTTTATGTACATTTTATATACACAAAACAAAAACAGATTTATTAAAATAGTGAGGTACATTGTGTAAATACTAGATGCTCCTCGTATTTACAGAAATTACAAGCTATTTATACCTGTTACTCGACTCAAAACAGTCTTCATGTGCCAATACAAGGTCCCAAAATATGCAGGACTTAATTATCAATTTATTTAAAATTTATATTAAGCAAAAATTATTTTATAAGGGTTATTACTAGACAAAGAACACGATTGATAAAAATATTACTACAAAATGTATTTATATACTTTTTTTACAGTTTGCTTACCATGCCTTGCTTAGTGAGAAAAAATACTTTCTATAATTTATATTTTTATATCATTTTATATATAACACAGATCAAGTCAGAGTGGGTTTAATTTATTACTAGCAATCTTAATTATATTATTATGTTACACTTTTTTCACATTTTGAACGAAAACCAACATCTGGAACCTGTTAATAGTCTATACTAATATACACCACGTAATAATTTTACTGTGTGCCTCAATATATTTTGCGATAGGGTTAACTATGGGGAGGTAAAGGTAGGATGCGCAAATTTCAAGGTAAGTACACTTAAATTGACTGAGCTGTATAGCTTGTCTATTGTGGCGATATAAACACACATGCGCATAGGAAAAGACACTGTACGCGATCAAACTTATTCATGGACACCTACACCTTTCTAAACTAAATCAAAGTTCATTCAGCTATTATTCATCTTATAGAATAATAGCTGAATGAACTTTGATTGCGAAAGTTCTTTTGCTAATGTTTTATGATTACATAGCAAACTCGTTCCTTTCTTCTTGTTTGTTTGCCGAATCAACTTTATTGAAACAAAGTGTTAATAATTAAGTAAATAAATTACTTTACTAAATAATTAATCGATCACTAGCAATCGTTATTTTCGTAGAAGTTTATTCCTAATTATTTGAAGTTTATTCCTTTATTCCAATTTGCGAAGAAAATTTTAAGATGATAATAAAGCGTAAATAAGTTGTTAAGAGCCGGTGTAATGTAGGGCCTAAACGCTCGCCGCTAATTTTACGTCTGGTGAGAATCGAACTGGATCCAGATTCGATACTCGACGGTACCAATAACAATGTCAATTGCAATTTTAAGTGCTGATTCACCATGTGCTCGTTGGTGAGGAATAATATCGTGAGGAAACCTGCATATCCGGCTAATAAAAATATTCAAGAACATGTAAGGTCCTTTAATATGCACTGTTCCTTAAATTGGCCACAAGTTAAGTATGCCCACTAATTCCTAAGCTGTTAAACTTCAGTGTTGAAAATGTTGCTTTTATGTTTAAGGTACGCCAACAAGGTATAAGATTAAAATATAAAACTATGAATGAGTTAGTATTGGTAGTCAATGTTCTTTTGGCAAGTGAATAATTTAGTAAGGTATCGTAGTGAAAATCTAAGTCAATCTGCAATTGATCTCGAAGACTGCCCAGGGTGCATCGAACGTAGACAAGGTTTTGGCAAGTTTGTCGCGCTATGGGAAGACTTCCTCAAAAAGTTCTATGTCTATATCTTCTACCACTGCTAAGCACGCTGCCAATCAACTCTACACATTGAGTTGCTTGATTTTGGTGGTAATTTTTCGGATTGATCTTGTGTTTCTTGCGGACTATTAATTTAACGATTTAAGGCGAGATGAGTAATGAGCGATGTTATTATTCAGACTTAACAGTTTGAGTGTTGTTGATTGATGTTTTCACAGACTCTGCACATGTCTTAAGACTCAATTTTCAAAAAGTATTCCGATTTTTACTCTTATTTTAATACCATTCGCTCAGTATTTCATTTTTATATAGAAACACCCGTGTTTAAAATGCCGCATCGTAGCAAAATTGCCTGGCGTATGACACTTTTAAAAAAGGCCATTAATGTTCATCATAAACGTAATAAACCACTTATTGCGTTTATGTGGAACATTACAATTTTATCGTACATGTTAAGTCTGCTTAGCGGAGTAATATTTTCGTTTTATTTATTTACACGATAAACCTGTAAATAAGCGAGTGATTGAGTGTAATCCTAATAATAAGAACTAAATAAATAATAACTGAAATATTAATAATAAGAACATAATATATATGTCAGTCTTATCCGTTGGATATTTCCAGTCTAAATTTGCAAACTGACTCGTGAATGTGAACATGCAATCATCAGACACGGTTGACTGCTATAAAATGTACACGCAGTGAATTAAAGATTATGCAGTTATATACGTCTAGAAGATGGTTAATCGCCATCTATCGGACAGCTACAAGATCTTTCTAAGGCTATCCATATTGACCTCTTACGATACCTACGAAATGAAATGGGGCGATGGATATATCACTACTACAAGGCAAGCTACAACAACAAACATTAATATTATAATTCAAGTATAAAATAATCCTTAGTAATCAACTATCGCTTACACTCCAAGCCGTGCTGACTTGCTCGTAAGGGGATTAGTATTAGATACGGGTGCGCTGCACGCTCTCATTTGTTATCTGTTGTCTATGTAACGGAAGAAAGCTCTTCTTATGATGTTAGTGGAGCGTTTAGATCACAGAGTGACTAGAGTGTCATTTTATTCGTAATTTATTATTAAGATTTAACATATACAATAGTAAAATTTTCGTTCGGGAAATTACAAAACATGTTCTCGTCAGGTATACCTCAAAACATGAAAACAAGATTGTACAACCAGCTCGTGTTGCCGGTGATGACGTATACAAGACCTAGTCCTTCATTGCAGGCCATATGAGGAAACTACAGGTCACTCAGCGAACTATGGAGAGGGCTGTGTTCGGAGTTTATCGGGTTTTATAAGTCACAGCATCCATTTACCATCAGATGGATTGTGTGTTCATTTGTTACCCTCATTCTATAAAAAATATCCTCGAACAATAATTAAAAGGCAGACGCTAGATTACGCTTCTATTTTGTAAGAAAGTGGTACTTCTCGCGGCTCTGCCACGAATCAAAAAATCTGTTATTAACATTGCATTCAACAAAAATCATAGTTAATTCGCATGAACGAGTACAAAGCAAGAAATTTGACAACAATAATTTGTTCGTATAATAACCAAATCAGCTTGAGAACGTTGAGGGATAAGTGAATATTGTTTAATGTGTTCCGAAATGAAATCAGTATGTGGCGGCGCTGTCGTCGCGCCACAAGCGAAATACATCGAAGCCTAAATGACGCTATCAACATTCCGAATCATAAACAGTATATATAGAACATCTCCGAACTATCACATGGAGTGTCGGCCGCTCCCCGGGCAGAACACCTTGCCCGGCGGGAGATCTCCCCTTTTCTTTCTACGGCCACAGTGGCGACCCCGACGTGATCTGAAAATGCAACCAACAAACTTCGGATACATCAAGCTTCATCATCTTCATAGAATACTTCACCCATTCGCTCCCGAGCAGATATCGTCTGCAGTCTTCATATCCTGCAAGCCATCTAGCTTCACAAGGTTCATAGCAGCACTGGAATAATAATGCTTCCTGTTCCTTCAAGCTACTCTCTGCGCCATACAATGTTCGGCACGGCTCTGAGCCTTACTGCTCGCCTCTGCTTCACGGCACTCTCGCAGATTACTTGCCTTCTTTTTCGACTCACCGCAGACTACAAGGAAATCTCCTGGTACTTGCACATTCATCGACAACGTCGAGACTGCACTATCGACCTCCGGTCTAAGCAGGAGCAGCCTAAATGACGCTATCAACATTCCGAATCATAAACAGTATATATAGAACATCTCCGAACCTCCACGGGCAGAACACCTTTCCCGGCGGGAGATCTCCCCTTTTCCTACCACGGCCACAAGTAGTTTTAATATAATCTTCCTTTCTTCAAAATAATACACATGAATTAAAAGAAACCAGGTTCAAAACCAAGAACCACGGCTGTTACTCATTTACGTTTCTTTGCGACGCATAATATATATATATATATATATATATATATATATATACATATAGTTGATAAGTTTTATTTGTAAGAAATTTTTAATTTTATAAGTGTCTTTTGTATCCTTCCATTTTACAAGTTTCGCTCTCAACATGCAATCATTAATGTTTTCACTTATTTAATTATTATATAGGCCATATAATTCATTTATATTATCAATATGCCTTGTAAATGTCATTTTATTATTATCTTCAAATTAAAATTTGTACCCGTAAAATCTAATGCGGAGTCCGTAGTCTATCTCAATGCTGCCACTGACCATGATATCACTATGGCAGGCATAATGTTAAAGACACACAAACCAAAAAGACCAAAACCTATTCGATCAAGAGTAATAGTTGACATAGACTCAATAAGATCAGAGCTGGAAGGAACGGACTGGTCAACAGTAATAAACTGCAGCTCTCTTGAAGAGTCTGTAACTCATTTTACTAAGACGGTATCAGAGGCAATATTGAGATATTCAAAAACTTGTGTAATAAGCCGCTCCAGAACTACCTTACACCCCTGGATGACTCCTGGTTTAATCAGATGCTCTAAACACCGCGATAAGCTTCATATAGAATATCGCAAGGACCCAAACAACCCAACTAAAAAACTTATATATACGCGCTATAGAAAATTTTACATAGATCTAATTAGAAGACTAAAACGTGATTACAACAAAAAAGAAATAATCAAAAATAAATATGCTCCAAAAAAACTCTGGGGTACTATTAACCGCATAACTGGCAAAGACACTAGCTCAAGTTCTAACCTGGCTCTCATCAACTCAAGACCCTCCGTAAAAGAGTCTCTCAATGTTTGCAACTCCTACTTTGCTTCTGTAGGTAATAAGCTGGCAAACTCTATCATGCTGAAATTAAATGAGACTCAAGAGTCCCTTGCCGAAAAAGTACACATTCCTGATCAACCCGTTGGTTCATTTTTCATGAATCCTACAGATGAACTGGAAGTTTTGGGTCTTATCCGGTCTCTTGATTCAGGTAGTGCGCCTGGTATGGACGGCATCACTAACAAACTTTTAAAATCAGTGGCCCACACAATCGCGGAGCCCCCTGGCTGCGATATTTAACTTAAGTATCTCATCGGGAGTCTTCCCTAGCCAGTGGAAAGTTGCGGCAGTTACCCCCATATACAAGAATGGAGCTACGGACGATCCTTGTAATTACCGACCCATATCACTCCTGGGTAGTTACTCGAAGCTCCTGGAACGTGTAGTCCATAAGCGGCTGACTAACTATCTTGAAAAGAATAGCATACTCTCGGACCGTCAGTTCGGTTTTCGCCAGGGAAAATCAACTGAGGACGCAGTAACTCTTCTCACAGATATGGTTGTAACTCATCTCGATCAGGGTCGATCCTGTGTCGGTGTTTTTCTCGATCTGGCTAAAGCATTCGACACGGTATCCATCCCCATCCTCCTTAAGAAATTAAGTGCTCTTGGGATTCGTGGTCTAGCTCTAAACTGGTTTTCCAGCTATCTGTCGGATAGAAAGCAATGCGTCCAAATAGGCGATCAGGCAAGCGATCTTAGATCTGTAGATTTCGGTGTTCCTCAAGGTAGCATCTTGGGGCCGACTCTTTTTATTTCGTACATTAATGATATTATGTCAATTCAACTTGAAAATAGTGAGGTTTTATGTTATGCTGACGATACAGCCATAATATTCTATGGTAAATCTTGGTACGACGCCTATTTTTCAGCCATCTCCGGGTTGTATAAATTACAAAAATGGTTAAATAACAACATCTTAACACTGAACACCTCAAAAACGCAGTTAATTTGTTTTCATAAAACTACAGCGTCTGAACCGCCACCCTCACTTTTCAATAGCCTTAAAGTACACAACGACAACTGTAGTTTTCGCTCCGTGAGCTCTCCAAATTGTAACTGTGACCAGATAAATAGGGTCGGTTCCCTTAAATATTTAGGCATTATAATAGATGAAAATCTTAACTTTAAAAGTCATATATCGGTGACATCAGCCAGGGTCCGTAAGCTGATACACACGATGAGACTATTGAGAGATTCTACTGATGGTAGCATTTTAAAGTCCGTCTACCTTGCACTATGTCAGTCCGTACTTAGCTATTGTATACTGGCGTGGGGTGGTATATCCTCCTCTACGTTGATAGTACTGGAAAGGGCCCAGAGAGCAGTTTTGAAGGTAGCTATGGGTAAACCAAGGCGCTATCATACGTCAGATCTCTTTAGAGAAGCTCAAGTTTTAAGTGTCCGTAGATTGTATCTTCTGAGGGCCTTTACATTTATGCACAAGGAAGCTTCAAAACTGCCGACGTTTAATACATTAATAAATAAAAGAGTGTTTAAGATCCCCACAACCTTAGTTAAAACATCTTTCGCACGTCATTTCACACTGTTCCAATCCCCTCGCATCTACAACAAATTAGTCAACTTATACGACTTAAAACGATCCCAACTTTATGAGGCTAAAATAAAAATGAGAGGTCATTTATTGACTTGGGACTATGAGAAATCAGAAGAAATATTGGTGACCCTTAAATAGGTGTTAAAACGGTAGTGGGCTGCACTGACGCACGCCCTGTCGTCCGATCCCAAGAATTTAATCGTAGGGCTACCTAACCACTCAGCTTATCCCCAATTGCAATCTCTCACCCTTTTACTTAACAAACACACACACACACACACACACACACACACACACACACACACACATACACACACGAACACACACACACACACATACACACACATACACACACACACACACACACATACATACATACACACACACACACACACACACATACACACACACACATACACACACACACACATACACACACACACACACACACACACACACACACACACAGACACACACACACACACAAACACACACACACATTCATACACATTCACCCACAAGTACACGCGCGCCCCTTTTAATTAGAATCTGTTTGTTATGTCTGTAATTTTTCATAAATTTTTAAGTCATTTTTGCTTTGCTGCACATAATTGTTTTACGTAATTTCGACAAATAGCCACTTTGATCAATTGTAAAATCTTTTGCGTGACCCCCACGAGACAGGCCATGCCTAGAGTGGGAGTCACAGAACTTATTGTATTTTGGCTACGTGTTTTCTGGTAAATAAACAAATTTATTATTATTATTATTTATTATTAAATAACGACGTGTGCGGTGTACTATGTGATACAAACGTTTACATATGGACCGTCTCCCATTGTTGCGACAATTTGCTTGATCACTTCTTTTGCCGGAAGGGCATGCTTCAGCAGCCCCACACATTTCGCCCTTTTGACGCTGGTCCCCGTCACTGGTCAGGGTGCTTTTCTTCGGATATAGACGACATAAACTACTGCTTACTTGTTTGAAGTTGGCTGTAGGGGTCCATAAACTGCAGTATACATTTACTGTCTGGTAACTGGACTGGACTGGTGGACTGTAAGTGCATTTGACACTTCGGTTCTCAGAAAAAAAACCAGGTATTGAATTTCATTTTTGAGGATTTATTATTGAGGACGTAGTGGAGCGTTTGGTTTGTGTATCTTCGGTAACCCATACAACCTCGGTGGTTTGGTACATGATGGTATTAGCGAATTCGAAACGTCGGGAATTCAAAATAAGTAAAAGTAATTAATTTAACGCGATAGAATCCGTAAATTTAGTTTTATTCAATGTGTAGTATTCGCGTAAATTTAAGAAATCATAACACCACTTGCTTAATTAATACATATTTTGATAGATTTACAATAAAATTTAAAAAAATAATTCCATTCTCATTAACTAATTGAAATTGGGGACTACAATATTCTTCCTAATAATTTTCTTTTCCTTTAGTTTTAGCTTTATGAAACATTATTGCTAAATCCGAATTCACACTATTCTTGACTTATTAGTGTGCGTGTGTACTAAACACTAGTTATTTTTGACCATCAATAAGCTAACATGGGGTACTATACTTGACATTATCAGATGACGATTATAGGTTAAGAAGTATCGAAGTATGTTAAGGCTGAATCTGAATGACTGAGTAAGAAACTGTTTGATAAGAAAAAAGTGTGGTTTGCAAGATGATGGTGTGACCAGGATTAAGAAAGTAATGCTTCGGTGGTTTGGTCATTTGGGCAGAATGAATGAGGAAAGAGTGACAAAGAAAATTTATGTTGCAGAAGTGAATGGCAGATTCGGAAAGGCACGTCAGGCAAAATTTATCGACCAAACTGGCGATTTATTGAAAATGGGCCAAATTACGAATACCCTTAACCGACGAACATGTATGCGTAGGTATATGGATGTGAAGGAGGCGAGAGAGGTGTGTCAGGATCGTGCCAAATGGAAGTCTGTACTCTCTGCCTACCCCTCTGGGTGACAAACGTAAGTGTTTATGTATGTATCAGATGACGTGACCTAAGATTGTACTCAAATGACTGAGCTTAGCAAATGTTTATCAAACAGGAAAATGCTGCTGCTCATCTCTTGTTTCATTTTCTATTGCCTCCTGCGACAATAATGAGAAATGGGGGGGGAGGTAGTGGTTCTCTTACAACGCGGCTATACGACCAGAACTACTTCACATAGATTCTCATTGATTGCCTTTTAAGTAATTTATGGATGGGCCTCTTCAGGATTGGACTTTCGATATGCTGTAATGAATATATCTATTAAAGTCTACTTCCGAACATAAGCCTCCCCCTTAGAATGACTCATTGGGGGGATATTTACCATAGGTGCCAGGCTTGTCAAGCGGGTTGAGGGGTTGGTCGTGTAGAAGCAGTGTCAGAATATCACCCCGTGGGTGTCGCAAAAAGCGACAGAGGGAAACAAATCAGGAGATGGTCAGAAGCGTCTTCTGAATCAGTGTCGAATGTATGAATATTGAATCGAATTAGCCTTAGAATTAGTGTAACAAATAAAATCAAGATCAAATTATATTATAAAAATAATGTATTTAGTTTCTCCTCCCGGGGAGTGAGCTTCTTTTAGAACCGCGACTGAGGGCAAAGATCTCAATAGAAGCGACTTTTCTTGGTCAATTCTCCGTAATGTGCTCTTGCCGCCTATTTTAGTACATCACTAAAACCAAACTCCCGACATTGATTTGCACTCTGACTGAGAACATATCATGTAAAAGCATGTGTGAAACAGTTTTAAGCACAACATTTATACTTGGTAGAGCCCCGCTGCAACTACATTACAGTTGTAGCGCGAATGGATCGGCTCGACCGGCGAAGGACCACACACTCACAGAATACCAGCGTAAAATAGCAGCTTAATACTGCTGTGTTTCATGTGGTGAATGTAGAGCTCCGGAGACCCTTTTTTACTGGTTATGAGGCATTCCGTCTTAGTCGTCAGGGGTGACAACGCCCCTGCGTTTTGATTCTTAATCGAGGATAAATGTAGACGTCTATGGACCACAGCATCCACTCACCACCAGGTGGATTGTGTGCCCGTTTGCTACCCTAATTCTATATTAAAGAAAAGCGTTTCGTACTGAAAAATTCCAAACGTAACATTCCTGACGAGTTTAATCTGTTATTTTGGTCTACACATTATGTGTCATAACCATTTTTAACTTAATCTTGGTACAGACTTGAAAATTACTTTGTAATTTTAGTGAAAAAAATTTCGGTTCTTTTGTTATAAATTGATGTCACAATTGAAAATTTATTACTTTAAAAATTAAAAGTAAATGTTTATTCTGTATTTGTTTCGCATTACTTTAACTCTTTTGACAATTTTTGGTCATAGCTCACGGGTGTCTTACCTCGCAGTTCACTCTTTAATGTTCCAATAAAGAAAAATACTTGTGATCTACTGCCTTGAGGGAAAGTTTTAAATACAATGCAACAAAGTGTTGGAAAAACTTGCCGCCTCCCTAACGTATATAAATTATTGCCATTATAAATATAAATTATTGCTATTTAATGATCAAATATGTTGGTTAAGACGTAAAATCTAAGTATAAATAATTTATGATAATTCTTTAACGTATTAATTCTTTCTAAAATATACAATGCATGAATTTATTAGTAACCAATGTATTTCATACATACCGAGCGGT